TCCCCAGGCCTGGAGGACCCCACTTTACCAGATCCCCAGGCCTGGAGGACCCCACTTTACCAGATCCCCAGGCCTGGAGGACCCCACTTTACCAGGTGCCCAGGGCCAGGGGAGCCCCATTTTACAAGATCTCCAGCACCCAGATCCCTGTTTGTAGGGCCTTTGGAGGCCCGCAGTGAGGAACCCAGGTCAAGGCTACACACAGTGGACTCCCTAGAGTGGACATTGCTGGCTCCGGCCTTGCTCCTGGGGTCCTGGGCTGGCCTGTCACCGCTGGGCCAGTGTCCTCCATGTTACATGCTGGCTGTGAAGTGGGAGGTGAGCCATCTTCAGACTCATCCCTGAGACGAGAGCCCCTGTGCATGGTGACGGGCTGGACATAGGACATGGGCTTGAGGTTTGGGGCCAGAGAAACGGCTCAGACACAACGCAGGGCCTGAAGTGGGTAGGGGCGGGCAGTGGTGCTCGGGGCCTCCAGGTGGGTGCCAGCCTCTCCACCCCATCCCCAAGGACACTGCGCCTCCCAGGCGAGTGACCTGCTGTCCCCTGCAGCAGACGGAGTAGGGCTGGGAGCGGCCCTCTGGCTCTGTTTGTCACTGAGAAGAGACTCCACCCGCAGCAGTTAGGATGTGGTGGGAACAGCTGTCGCCTGAACGGGGTGCTGAGGAGGCTGCATGTGGCTGACACAGCCCCAAACCAACCCACTGCCAGCAAGTAGACTCTGACTCATGGTGATCCTATGAGACAGTACAAACTGCCCCGCAGGGTTTCTGAGGCTGTAAATCTTTTCCAAAGCAGACTGCCTCATCTGTCTCCCATGGAGTGGCTGGTGGGTTTGAACTGCCAACCTTTTGGCAGCAGCAGAATGCATTAACCATGGTGGCCCTGGACATAGTCCAACCAAAAAAACAGAACAAAACAAAACTCACTGCCGCCGAGTCGATTCGACTCACGGCGACCCTCCTTGGGTTTCCCAGGTGGTAGCTTCACTGAAGTAGGCTGCCCAGTCTTCCTTCCGCGGAGCAGCTGGTGGGTTTGAACCGCCAGCCTTCTGGTGAGCAGTCAGATGCTTTAGCACTCTGCCACCGAGCGCCTCGGACAGAGCCCGGGTGGGATGAGGAAAGGAAGTGGGCCTGGGACCACCGCCGCGCTTCTGGGCCCTTGCTCCTTAAGAGCCTCGCGGGTGGGGGCTCAGACCCACCTGCACCCAGCAGACCCAGCAGCTCACAGGGGACCTGCTTGAGGGCACATAAGTCATTCCCTGTGGTCCCACTTCCCTCTGCAGAAACTGCCCTCTCCCAC